AAAGCTAAGAAAAAAAGCCATATAGTCATATCCCAAAATTCTAACAGTTAAACAGACTGCCATGTCAACTCCCATGTTCAGACACGTACAACAAAAAAACTGTAAAGAACCAACCCCCCCAGCGTAACTAGTCAAAGCCAGATAAACGTGTGTTCAACTGATTCTCAATGATGGTTCAAATGACATTCTGTACACCGTTACATATAACCAATACAAATAAACACATATTCATACTGAAAAATGTATGGCATGCAACCTTCTGAAAAAGTAATTTTCTCCACAAGCTGCTTCCTTAAATTTGACTTTTCCTTTTATATTCATAAATATCAGAAACCGTCTCAGAGGACTGGTAAGACTGTATACTGTTATTGTAAATGTCTTACTGTCTATTTCATGACTTGAGTCAGAAAAGCAAACTCGTATTTTCTTGCATATAAATGTACACTTTTTCCCCCTCCAAAAAATGGGGGCTGGAAAGTAAAGTTCACATTATAAGCAAGAAGTGTAGTAAGAAGTTTCTCATGGTTAAGGGCAAAAGTGAAAGTAAAAACTGCACCAGACTCAAAGGGTATGGACAGAAATTACACATAAAACGGTATAAGTGATCGAAAACCAATTCAAATCTGTAACACAACAGAAGTTCAATGCACATAAACCACTTTCAAAATGGCCAAAACCGATTTAAGATAAACCTGGATGGATGTAGTATCAGACTTAACTGATTTAGGTTAAATTAGTTCATTGAACTTCTGTCCCAGATCCAAGTTAACTCTCAGTCCCCCAGCACCCCAAGATGCTTTGCACCTACCCCACAACCCCCCTCCCCCACAGTGTATGTGGGCTAGCCTTGGCACAAGCTATCTGCCCCAACTAAACAAGGAGATGTGCTCTAGCACCCCCCAGCTTCTAGCCTGGGCCACCACAGGCATGTGGCTGCATTTCCAGAAACAAAAGTGAATGTCTGTTCACTTGCTTATTGGTTCAATCTACGCAGTTTAGACTAATTTCCAAAAATTGAATTAATTCAGCCTCAGGCTTTTGCACTGTCCATCCTTTGCCAGAGGGAATAGAACAATAAGCAGTAGCCTCTGCTCCCTAGCTGCTTCTGCTCAGTTACTTACTACAAGGAAAGTTCTGTTTTTCTTCATTCTGCCTTTCAAAAACAAGCTGCATGAAATAGGCAAGTAAATATGGTATCCCCTTTCAGTTTAAATTTAACATTATGTTGTTCTAACAGAGTTCCCTCTGGACCATGGGTGGTCCACAAAACAGGTGCTACTGGTCACACAGTATAGGCTGATACTCATTTTCTGCAGCTGTACCTGAATAAAGACAGCTAAAGTAAATAACAACACTTAGTTAACATTTTCCAATAAGTAATCACTAGGAGATGACACATGGATACTATATGATTGAAAAGAGAAAGAAAGATGGTTGGCTGGGTAGCAAACTCTTCTGTGCTCCAATATAAGAAAAAGGGCTTCCTTCATTTATTTTTAGAATGGAATCTAATACTAGATTTTAAAATTATGTGTAAATAAAGCTTTAATACTAAAACTTATATTCAGGGAAACCCACAGCATAGGTTTACCCGTATTAAAATTTTCGTATCAAGAAAAGGAAATAAATACAAATGCATTACAGAATGTACTTAGCATCTGAATCAATATAAAAATCAAGTCATTTTCCTTTACTTAATCTCTTAGAGGCTAGTGACTAATTTTCCACTAATTATAGCAAACAAAATGATAATACAAGGTTGAACCAAAGCCAGTAAGTATATACAAAATGAGTAATTAATGTAATTGTTCCAATGAAAACTACTGTAGAAGTGTAATTATGATTAAACGGCAATAGACTGAGTGTGCAGTTTTGTCTAAGTTCTATGCATTTCCCTCACTTCGTACCTTGATCACAGATGTCAAAATAGCCCATTTAAATTATTTTCTATTACCCAACCAGCATGATAGGTAGTCTTTGACTCTAATAAAATCTTGGGGGAGACCTTTTAAAATTAGCATCAGAGAAGCTTGAATAAGGGTTGCACAAGAGTGATTCTGAAGAGAAAGTGTAAAAACAAGAATGGGGTCTTAACTGGAAAATAGGTTAACCAAAAAATATCACTGCTATCAACCTGGCCAATACTTGATGTCTTAATGACATGTTTATTTCTTCCTACTTCTATCTAATCCATTTTCAATTTATCTTAAGATCTTAAAAGCAAGTCAGAATAGGTCTTTAATTTACTCTACTTTGTTTAAAAGCAGTATATCTAGCAGAAAGCACAATTTTACATCTCAGCAATCCCAAATGCAACCTACTCTCCACACAGTAGAGCAGAACGTGGACAAAAAGAAAAACTAAGATCTATTTATAAGGTAAATAACAGAAATCCATAACAGCCTCAGGACACTTTACCCATTTTAATTAATGCTCATGATATTCTTACAATAGACATTATCATCCCTATTTTACAGATTTAAGAAAAAGGTAGAAAAATTACATGACTTGACAATAGATTCACAATTCATATCAGAGCCTGAACCAGAACCTCAATCTCCTGACACTCTGCACTTAAATGCTTTGAACTTTGCTTCCTCTCAAAACAATGTTCTGCAAGTCACTGGGCTCAAGTTCAGTTTATATTCCTAAACTGGAAAAGAGAAAAAAAAGAACACAACACAAAAAAGTTGTCTACAAACTCTATAAAGATGAACAATTAAAATTATTGCAATGCTTCTCTTCATTCAACATCAGGCAGTTTACTTAATAAATATCTACTTAGCATGTACACTAAAGAGGTGTATATTTTCCTAACTGTGATATATCTTAGTGGAAGACAACATTTCTAAAATGCCTTCACGTGTAGACTCATAAATATTTTAATGTGTGAACAATCAACTAGCATTTAGAAAGTCTATTTTTAGTGTTTTTTTTTATTTTTTAGCAATTATGATAATTTGGAATTTTGGTAATTATGTTTTCCAATTGTGAAAGCAGTACCTTTATTCAAAAATTACTATACAGTGTCCAAACCAGAAATATTACTAAGCTATCCAGATCCCCAAAAAATCCTACATTAATTCTGAAAACATTAAATTAATTCATATGTGGTAGCAATACACAAGATGAGCAAACTACAACAACAGATTGTTAACATCTGGATACCAAGATAAAACACCCAGCTCTCATTTCAAATGTCATATTTTTAATAATACTGGTTTGTTATAAACATTTCAAATTGCAATACAACTTTAAAAATGTTTTAGATACACAATTTGTATTGTGTTATGGCAGGGTTATAAGGGACTAATAAAATCCTACTCCCTATATTGATGGGTATTCTACTGAAAGCAATCCTAAAATCTGCTCCTTACTGAGGGATTATATGCCACAAAAGTGCTGGTAAGTAAGCCTAAATGTCTATATCTACATGTTGCATTTGAGTTAATGCTGCCATCTTTAAAACTTTTTAAACCTCTAAAACGTTAGTCTTGTTGTTAACATTCAATATTAAAAATATTGCAATGGTAGTGGGGTGTTGAAAGACTACTGAGGGCAAACCTGGCAATAGTTTTCCAATACATAAAAGGTAGTTATATTAAGGCTAATGATCAATTGCTTTCTACGTCCATGGGAAGAAGGATGAGAAGAAATCAGATTAATCCGAAGCAAAGAAGATTTAGGTGGCATATTAGGAAAAAGGTCTATAACTGTGTGAAATGAAACAAGCTACATAAAAAAAGACATGAAATACTCTTTAACCTGTTCAAGATCCTCTGAGGTCCCCATGAACCCTACACTTATCTGCATCTCTTGACTTTCTTATTGTATTACCTATAAGGATATCAAAATTATCATCCCCTAACAAAATGAAATTAGCCACCCAAGTGATGAACATTGGTTTGTCAAATACTAATTTTTAATAATATATCTGTTTGGTAAAAAAAAGATGAGAAAAGATATTATACAAAACATCAACACTGTAATCCACCCCCACCCCCAAAAAAATTAAAGTTTCATTTTTTTATTGCAGGTATTGCAAATAAGCAAAATATTTTTATAAGTCATCCTTTTGGTCCTCTAAGTACATTGTACAGTAAAAATTAAATGAAACATCAAGTTTAATCTTAACGATATTTTGAAATTTTAATTTTTTTTAAAAACAGAACCAAAAATGTTTTCATGCAAATAAAACATATCAGTTTTCTTGCAAAAAGCAGCTTTCAGAACTTCCAGCTCCCCACTTCTATGGTTTATATAAGTATAATATATTGGCTGAAAACTAGAAAAAAATTGCACTTTATCAATGAGCAATAAGCTTTCTTCAGCAAATAAGAGGACCTATACCAGTATTTTCTGAAGAATGTAAATCTCTTAAAAATTCTATCCCTTATGGTTGGAAAGATGAGCTTACAAATTTGAACAAAATACAAACAAAGCAAATGTTGTTAGAAATGTTGAGGAGAAGTCAAATATTAGGGAACTGTATCCAGCCTCCTGACTACTCTGAGGAGGCCAGGTAGAGAGGCTATCTGCATCAAAGGAGAAAACGACAGAACTAGCCAAGACTCTCCTCCCGTGCAGCAGCCAGAACTCTCTATGGACTGTGTAGAAGAGTGAAGGACCAGGCATTCACAAAAGTCAAAAGGTCCTGGAAGAGAAACAAAAAACAGAAAACCCCTGCAATGTTCCAGAAAAATTAATTATATATTAGCTTGGGGCTCATAAAAAATGGAACGTATGGCAGAAATAAAACATCGGAACACTCTCACACAGCTAAGGAGGTAGCAGAGGTATCACTGAATGGACTCCTTTCTGGAGCTTTATCCTTGTACCTTGCTAGGACTCCAGCTTTCCTTTCACATTAGCTTGGTAGGGGATTTTGGCCTCCAGGTAAAAGCAAGGTAAATATTTCAATTCCCAAAGCTCTTAAATATTAGAGAAAAATGTGTATTTGAACACAGCTTTGCTTTAATAAGCTATTTGACATAGCTTACTTCCTAGGTTTCTAGATGCTGCAAGATCCGGGCAGTGATTCTCAGCCAGGGTGCCATGGGATGCCTTAAGAACCTTTCTAGAGTGCGATGAGGTGTCACATGATGTTTGCACTGTTAGGTTTACAAACACAATTCAAAAGACAAACCAAGAGATTTGAAATAAAAATACTACAGTATGGATTTCTTTCTTTGCAACAAAAACAACCCCCCCACCCCTCATTCTAGTCTTTTTCTGCAGGCAAAAAAAGTGAAAACTAAGAGCTGGCATTTTCTAAGGGGTGCCTTAACCTACTAAAGGATCTCTCAAGTCTATCCATAGGTGCCTCAAATCTAAAAAGAATGAGAACCGCTGCTCTCCGGGAAGAGAGGCAGGGGACATACCAGTCTGTATAGACCCTGCATAAATATTCTCCCCCTTACCATCCACCATGCTTAAAACATAAAATACTGGACTACGGACACAGGGCCTAATCCCACAAGGCATCTCCATGTTCTGTGACACTTTAAATACATCTTTTCTTTTTTAATTTGTGCTGAAAAGGAAGAATCACTTCAGTAACTCTTAAGCACTGGAAATAAAGACTTCATGTAACGTACTGAGGAATTTCTAAGCTATTTAAAATAGCAACACACATAAAAAAAGATCAAAGATATTCTTATTTAAGGTCTAAACAGCCACCTCCTGCCCACACAAGTGGGCATACCATTAAGAAAAAAAGCTTAAATTGCTACATGAGCTTGTAATACCAGGCCCCATACCTTTTTTTTTATGGAAACCAATTTTATATAGTCTTCAGGGCACCAAACTTAATGAGAAGCCTTCAACTACAGTTAGTTAAGGTCATACATGATTTAGCCAAATCCCACATACAAGGTAAAAACCTCAATCCCACTTAAATCCAAGAAACCCTGATCTGTGGCCTCAAGCCTGTGCCTCCATCACAAAACAAATAACTTTTTTTTTTTTTAAATAAAGGCCACTATTTTTATTAACTTTAAACAAAATCCTTTGAAAAGGCTCATACTTTTTTCTGCAGCTGAGACTGATACCCATCTTACCCTATGACACTTATCTTCTAGGAAAAAAATAAGTGCCAACAGGAAGAGATTGTGACCAGTGATCTCCTGAGCTACAAACTCACTTGGGGCTGTGCAGAAGGAAGCATCACCAGGGACCCACACATGATGCGGTTAAAATCAAATGTTATAGCAAAGAAAATAATAATAATAAAGTGGGGCCCAAACGGTGCCCTCCTTTCACCCCTGGCCGCCTGAGCCCAGAGGGGGCTGAAGCC